CCCATAGAGGTAAGGATGGAAATATGTCAGACTCTTTACTAAAGCAACGAGTTGCCTTCGTGTTACACAGTAGTTACTCTCTGGTCTACTCAGGACCCTACTAAAGTAGGCCACCACATGTTTGTTTTCATCCACTTTCTGAGACAACACTCCTCCAATGCAGACATTACTTGCATCACAATCCAGTATGTACGGCAATGAAGGATTTGGAAGCTTTAAAAGTGAAGCTGAGACCAATTTTTCTTTCAATGTCTTGAAAGCATGCTGGCAAGAAACTGCACAAAACTTGAAGATAATATTCTTATCACAAAACCTGACAAAGGTTCTGGTACCCTCATTTTGAATAAAACTGACTACATTGGAAAAATATGTGACATCTTAAATGATGAAACAAAATTCAAAAGACTAGGCACTGTTTAGCAAAATGATAACACGGCAAAAATTTAAAAAAAGTTTCAAAAACGCTTATTAGAACTGGTTAAGAAAGGTTCCTTACCACGTAATATTTATGACTGGATTAGGCCCGAAGGCCCACAACGTCCCTGCATGTATGGCCTTCCTAAAACGTACAAAACGTACGATTTTGTCTATGATTGGCTCTGCACAACACGCATTAGCAAAGTGGCTTTCGGAAATTTTAGAAGAGGTGTTAACATATTTTTCAGAAAACTGTATTCAAGTCTCCTTTTCTTTTGTTACAACCATACAGAACCTTAACCTTGACCCTAAACAATCATTTTTGTGCTCCTTTGACATCAGCAGGCTGTTTACTAATGTACCCCTGGAAGAAACCATAAACATTTGTGCAGATACTTTGTATGGTGGAGAAGTTCAGTGCCCTCCAATACCTAAGAACCTGTTTACTGAACTGATGAATACTCCGACACGTTCGGTGGAATTCAGCTTTAATGATATCATGTATCAACAGATTGACGGAGTTGCCATGGGTTCTCCTCTTGGACCTGCCTTAGCCAATATTTTCATTGGTTTTCATGAGAAAGAACTATTCAACAAAGTTACCAGACCTGCTTTTTACTTCCGCTATGTAGATGACACATTTGCCATTTTAAAAACTGAACAGGAATGTGAATGTTTCTTACAAGACCTAAACTCGTTGCACTCGGGTCTCAAATTTACTTTCAAAAAGGAACAACACAACTCTTTACCGTTCCTAGACGTCTTAGTTGAAAAAGATGACTTTCGTTTTCTCACCAGTATATACAGAAAACCTACCTTTACAGGACAGTACACACGATGGAATTCTTTCAGTCCTAAAAGTCGCAAAACGAACCTTATTGCTACTTTAGTCCATCGGGCTCTAATTATCTGTTCAAAATCTAAACTAGATTTCGAATTTAAGACAATTAAAACTATTTTCCTAGAAAATGGGTATCCAGAAAACGTCATCAATCAAATTACTTCAAG